GATTGTATGACTTCAGAGCTTATTCATTCCAAATTCAAGAATTCTTGTCTGCAAGTAAATATGCCTTGCCTCTAAACTGTTTTTGCCAAAAGTTGCTCTGGTCCTGGGATTCAGTTTTGTGATTCATACTAAAAAGTGAATTTTAAGTTACATACTTAAGTAACTCTTAACACATTCTGCAAGTTCGGGTATGTCTAATGCTGTAATGTGTTTTTTGGTGAATTGCTTTGTCAAGCTGAACCAAACTCCAAGCTAGGTTTTTAGCCAATTATCCTGTTGAATCAATTTAAAGAGTTTTTTAGACATAAGCTTCAAATTGTTTTCATAGTCAAATTCAAGCATCCTTGAACTTTTGGATGCTATAGTAGTTAGTCTTGTATTTATTTGACTGACAAATTAAGGACTGAATTAATCCACTGACCAAAATTTGTCTCAGTCTTTGGGGCAGGCCCTTAAACACTGACGTGGCCGGCTGGGCAAGGCAAGGTAATTCAAATTACAGCACTTAAATTACATTTGATTTGGTTTCATGGGTGGAGACCACTGTCTTCAGTGTTGCCAAATAATCAGTTTTCAAAAATACTACAGTTCTGCCCGTTTTTGAAAGTAGATTTTTTAATCACTTCTACGATAAAACTAAGTTTTCCCCTTCAATTACAGAAGTTTTTTACCAGAATTGTCCACTCCTTGTAGGCTTTTGCTATTAGTCATGTTATAAAGTCTGTAAATACTTATGCTAACACCTAAAAAAATCAGAATGGCCCCTTGACCTGTGTCCAAAACCATATCTAACTTGCTATTAGTCATGCTGTTTTTAGTACTGCTAGGTCAAAATGACCTGCTCACTGTGTCTTGCACCATTCAGCAACAGAAACTGTATCAAAATCCAAATGAAAAGCCTGTGTTGAGCTTAGTGTAATGCCAGGGCATCTGAATTGTTTTTTGTGTGGACTTTAAAGCTATTGGCTTGTTCATGATGATAATCTTTAAAAGTGCCTTCTTACAATTAATGAAGGTAATGGAAAAAACTACACTGACACCTGTGTGAGTACAGATGTGAGCAGCAAAGCTGTTAGAGCTGGTAATGTTTAAAAACCTGGTGATGGTCAATCCAGTTTATTGTCTATTAACAACATATTATTGTATATTGTCAGTACTCATTTCAGGCTGTGATTGGAAAATGGGGAAGGTGTTAGCATTGCAGGTTACCTGCAGACTCTTCTGCCCTTGCCCTCCCTCCCCTTGTCATTCATCTTTGAGTTTGGCTAAATTTGAGGTAAGCTCGTTGAGCAGCCAGCACAGGGAGCAGAAGACTCAAATTTGGCTGGAGTGGTATAATTTTGAAATATAAATTATTACCTTTTTTATAATAGCAAAGGAAAAACGGCAACAAAAATGAAACCATTCCTTGCATAGGCACATGAAGGAAAGATAAGTGTAAAAAACTAAGAATGCACTGTGAACTCATCACATGTTAATTACGGTGATACGTGTGAAAAGAAAGGCAGGTAAGAGGGAAGTCATTAGTTGGGAAAGATGTTGCTCAGTGACTGCATCCATGTTGTGACTGACAGTTTATAGATTAAATCTTGGTTGTATCTCACAGACTTAAGAATGGCAGTTACAAATTTCAACTGAGGTGTCATCTGTTTCCCACTCTGTACATGAGGCCAATTTGTCCAGCTTTAGGATCCTTGGTAAATAAAGGATGCTTGAAAGTGTACAAGGTGGAGGAGTCTTCGTATGAGCATGTATGTCAAGACAGTCAGCAGGACTGCATAGCAACATCTCTCATGCCTGTTACAGTGAAACACTAAAGATGGTCTGTGCTGTTTGGATGTAGTTCCTTTTATGTCTTCAAAATGGAAAGATGCCAGGGATGTTGTTTAATGTTACATTGAGATCAGGTAAGTGAAAGAGTTAATCTCTGCAGTTTATTATTTTGGATAAGAAAGCACTTCAAAGGGGCAAAAAGCAGCTGAGAAAAGGGGCTGAGCCTGTGGCTCTTGCTTTAGAGATAAGTTTATTAGAAAAATAATTGCATCACTGCTTTCAAACCTATTTTTGTTGCCAAGAAAACGTTAACTTTGATCTAGTAAAAGCTCAGAGGGAAACTATAGTGAGGAGACAGTAATAGTGCATTTGAATTTCACTGTCTGATACCAATTTGCTGGCTAATCTGTGGTGGCACAGGCACCAGTTTAAAGTGGTCATGGTTATCTGCTAAGGGGTGTGTGGAATCAAGAGTTCATTTGGGTTTAAATGTGTCTCTTCAGCTGGTGGAAATGGACAATGTCCTGGGTATTTCACTGGCAGAGCTGACATTTAGCATAGTTGCAGTAGGTATCAGATGCTTTTCAAGAAGGTTCCTGGAGCAGTTCAAGCCAACATCACATTTGAGCATCTCAGAATCCCCATTAGTGACAGAAGATCCAAGCAGCAAGAAAGAGAAGTTGTGTATCAGTCGTGTTCTTTTGCAGGTTGGTCATGGAGGATGGAGAAGGGTGAGTAATAATAACACAAACTCTGCCATGATGTTGAGGTGCCTGGACCTCAGCTTCTAGGTCTAAGTGCTGTGAAGTACTCAGTGATCCCAGTGTAAAGGGGAGAAAGTAATCCAGGGCAATGATGACCACCAAGGACCATCTTATCAACCACCATAAGCCTGCTTGAACCAAGAGGGGCAGGGCTGTGTGAGTGGGGGGGTAGTTTGCAAAAGCTGAGATGCAAAGCAGGCTGAACCCCTGCTGCCTTCTCCCTAAGGAAAGCTACCAGTAAAAATTCCTGAGATTTGGAAAAGGTCTTTTTCTAAATTTGTAATCTGATGATTCCAGCATGGTGACTGACAGCCCTGCTGAGGATAGGCACATAGGGTATCAAATTAGTCCTAAGTGAGCAGGAAAAATATGCAAGCTTTTCCAAGTCAAAAAGCCTCCATCAGGTTTATTCCTGTCCAGTTAAACTGTCAAATATTTGTGTGTAAGCTTGTGAGCTATGCTGCTAAAAAAGGATTTGTGTTTCCAATTTTGGGAAGCAAGCCTGTGGCTTTGAGAGAGGAAAAAAGCAGCATTGTTGTATGAACAGCCTATATATGTGGTGTGAAAAACAAACCCTAGCCTGAGAAAAGCTTGTTGGGATCTGGTGAAAAATATTAGGGGAGAGACAGCAAAATGGCCACACTTCAAACCTCTAAATATTTCCTGGAAAAATGCCACTAGCTTCTCCCCTTGATAGTAGTTGAACTATATAAGTTTGTTGAGTGGAAAAGTTGCTTTAAAACATTCAATTGTCAACACTGTCACCCCATTATTTAAACTTTTTTTTTTTTTTTTTAGTTAACAAAGCATTCTTGGTGTTATTAGGGCACTGGA